AGGTCCCCATACATGAAGATAGGATGCTGTGCTATGAAAGCATCCCCAGAAAGGTGAGGGAGTGAGTCATCCAAAATCCTGAGCCCTTCCTCTGAGGCCAGGGTGGCAGGACACGGGGTGGGAGTCACATCCGCATTCTGTGTTGAGTAGAGGCCTCATTTACTAGGCTTTATAACCAGTGTGTGTGATGTAGAATCCTTAGTACATAGCAAATAGTGTTTTGTTTAAACAAAGGGGGAAGTAATTATCATTCCCCCCAGTTTTTGTAGACTTATTTATTTATTTGAAAGGCAGAGTTAAAGAGAGAGATCTTCCATCTTCTGGTTCACCCACCAAATGACCATAATGGCCATAGTTGGGCCAGATTGAAGCCAGGAGCCAGGGGCTTTATCTAGGTCTCCCATCTGGGTACAGGGGCTCAAGCACTTGGGCCATCTTCCACTGCTTTCCTAGGTGCATTAGCAGGGAGCTGGATTGGAGCAGCTGAGACTTGAGGCGGTGCCCATATGGGATGCTGGTGTCACAGGTGGCGGCTTCACCGTTGCACCACAGCGCCAGCCCCTGCGGTGACTCATGAATTCTGTGGCTCAGGGCTGCACAGTTTCAGGGCCACCGTTGATGGGGAGAACCTGGGCCTTCAGAACGGGGTCAGATGGATTGGCAGGAGAGAAGAACTGACTGCAGCAAGTCCTCACACCCCCTGTAGGCAGACAGGCCCTCACCCTGGCCTGCCATGGGGTGCGGTTGTTTATGATCCGTGTGGGCTGGGCCAGAGCCACTGCTGGACGTTGGAGACCTCTGCCCATCAATTATCCATAGGAAGTGACAGCACAGAGCCCCCAATTGCCATTTATTTATTTATTTATTTACTTTTATACTACTTGGGAAGATGCACACCTAGTCATTATTTTTTAAAAGATGTATTTATTGGAAATGCACAGGGACATGGAGAGGGAGAGACAGGAGAGCAAGAGATCATCCATCTACTGGCTCACCCCCTGAATGGCCGCTCCCGAAGCCAGGAGCCAGGAACTCCATCTGGGTTTCCCACATGAGTGGCAGGGGCCCACGCACTCAGACCGTCCTGCACTGCTGTCCCAGCCACATCAGCAGGGAACTGGATCAGAAGCACAGCAGCCAGGACTCAAACTGGAGCTCCCGGCACCACAGCATCGGCCCTGTGATTAAAGGGATGGGATGGGAGGGTTTAATTCACGGGAGATGTTTGTCCTCGCCTCCCTGGCCGACCTTGAGTCCTGTCCTTCCCCTAACTTCAGGGAAGAGTCCCTCTTTTGTCTCGTAAGGCTATTAGGGTAAGGACAGGAGAGAAAGACAAAGAAGAGGCAGAACAGGAACTCACAACCAGACCAGGTTTATTCAAAGAATACGCCTGGGAGGGGCCCGCTCCCGGTGAATGTTCAGCAGAGAGCGTGCCTGCCCTTACAAAGTAGTGGCTTATGTATCACAAAGCAGTTGGGAAGGGCTTGGGGGTCTAGACTAAGGCTGGGATGCCGAGAGTGAGGAGACCTTGGGGTGGGGTGGCTTGGGAGGGCGTGGGGAGCTCAGGCTGATGGCCAGACTCTTTAGATGGTGGTATGTCTAGCAGCTGAGGCAGGGCAGGGCTGGTCAAGGCAGGACGGAGCTGAGCCGGCAGGAGGAGAGTGCAGGCAAGGGCGGGCTGCTTGTCACGCAAGTGAGAGGCCAAAGCAGAGCTGAGGCTTTGGTCCTTGCTCCATCAATCCTGACTCTGAATATAGATGGGGGAAGGGGCGCCGGTTTCTTTCTGGCTACTTCCTGCTTGTGTGTGGCGTTGTCACGGGACAAGGTTTCTACTCTGGATCAGATTGATTGGAGAAGAGCAGTCTTGTGTTCCTGTGTGATGACTCGGGACACAGTGGTTACCCATTCGTGTAGAAACTTTTGAAATTTGTTAATTACACATGGTAGGAATAAAAGCACTGGGACTGTGAGGAGGAATGGGTAAAGTGGAGACATTAGCCATGGTGGGAAAGATGGCCACAGCCAAAATGATGAGAAGGAGCTATTTTGCAAACAGATTTCATTAGCTTGCTCTTTTTATTTTATTTTATTTTATTTTATTTTGGACAGGCAAAGCTAGACAATGAGAGAGAGAGACAGAGAGAAAGGTCTTCCTTCCATTGATTCACCCCCCAAATGGCCACTATGGCCGGTGCTGCGCCAATCCAAAGCCAGGAGCCAGGTGCTTGCTTCCTCCTGGTCTCCCATGCGGGTGCAGGGCCCAAGCACTTGGGCCATCCTCCACTGCCTTCCTGGGCCACAGCAGAGAGCTGGACTGGAAGAGGAAGTAACCGGGACAGAATCTGGGGTACCAGCGCCACAGGTGGAGAATTAACCTAGTGAGCCGCGGCACTGGCCAAACCAGTGTAATTAAGGCTAAGTTGAGTGTCCCTCATCACACATCTGGTTCGGGAGAAAGGGAATAATGTTTGGCCTAGAGTCCAGGACGAAGGAAGAAGTAAGAATATGAGAGTACGTGTCCCTGTCCAGCTAGTGGGAAGACAGGTACATGCCTGCTTAGCACAAAGAACGAACACTCCTGCTTTGCTTAGTCTGTACATGCCAGCAGGGAGCTGTGGGAAGATCTTAGTCTTACTTCGCGTCCCAGGCTCCCTCATTCCTTCCCTCTGCTTATGGAAACCCTGGCTGCTGACCAGGGTTAGCACAATGACTGGTCTGACTTCTTCAGGCTAGGTAGGGGTGAAGTAGGGACCTGTGGTCAAGACAGGGTTCCAGCAGGGTTCTCGGGGCCACCATGCCAGCTTGTAGAAACCGTCTCTATTTGAGATTTCACGTGCATGGTCGTTAAGTCTGGAGGCAACAACTCTAACAAGCATATTAAATACACTGGGTCTGAGACAAAGGACAGAATCATTACTAAAGGACTTAGGAGGAAGTTTTCCCATTGAGAGGCAACTAGAAACGGACAGGAGTGGCTTCATAATAGCCAGGTGGGTGTTAAGGCCTGGCCAGGTCTTCATGAGGTTCAGACTTACCTTTCTCTCCACATGGAGTACTGGAAGAGACATTATGAAGGAGGCGTGGAGCTCATTAGTAACTCAGCCACTTGACTCCCATGACCCAGCTGGCCTGGGAGGAGGTCAGTACAGAACAGATGGCATCTCTAAAAGTCCTGCCTGCACCGTGACTGATCCTTGGCCATGCCCTCAATAGCGATGGTTATTTGGAAGCTGGGTAGAGTGAAGGGCTTTTTCAGCTTAGGGAGAGCCAACAGGGTCTGCAGCTCTGACCTGGGTGTCCTTCAGCCCCAGGACAGTTCCATTACTAGTGGCCCAGCTCTTGGCAGAGCTGACAGGGCTCTTTGCAGCTGGCTTCTGTCATGACTACTATCTGTACAAAGCCTTGGCCTACCACACTGAAAACCGGTACCCTTTAGGGGTGGACTGGCAGATCGCTGTGCAAAGCTGTTATTGATTGGCCTGCCACCTATCTTCACACTTGCTCTTTTCCTCCTGGTTTCTGGTGAAGTAGACTATGGAGGCAGCCTTTAGGACGTTTGTCAAGGGTGTGTTGTTATATTCGAGGTTCCTGTTTTGAGTACCTACCACGTGTTGATGTAGGCCAGTGCAGGTGAGGTGAGCCAAAGAGAAAGTTACCTGGATGGAGTGTGGGGCATGGGGGCTGCACCTGTTAGCAACCATGTCTTGGGGAGAGAGTTTTAAATGGCACAGGGAAATGTTCTGCATAAAGTTTAGTGGCGAAAAAAGTGTTTGGAAATAAGTCTGTGCTATGTAAGCAGAGAAAATACTAGAAGAAAGTGGCAACATCTCACCTCTGGTGTGTGTTTCCCAAATTCAGGGCAGAAAGCATACAAACATGTTATTCTTAGAAAAAGGACACTTTCCCATTGTGCCTTCAGGAACTCCAAGCCTTCGGATTAGCTTTGATGAGAGGACGATTGTGCTGTACCCAGGCCTGGGCCTGGTGTCCGAGGGGCCCCCGGGGACCTCTGAGGGGACAGCGGGTTTTCTGGGCATCACTTCTGCCTTCCCCACCCAGGAGGACCCAGGAGGGGCGCGCTGGGCACTGTCAGCGCCAGCGTTACCGACCCCTCTGGCTGGTGGGGTGGGGGTGGCGAGGAGGCGCGGCCCCTGGTGGGCATCCAGGGGGGCCCATGGGAACCCAGCCCCCCTCTCCTTTTGTGGTGCTCATGAGGGAGCACCCACTTGTAAGGAACTTGAGTCCAGATGGAGCTGAGATCAAGACCCCAGCCCTTCAGCCACAGGCCAGATGCGCTTCCGCCGACCAAGTCAAAGGCTCACCGTCAGGCTCGTGGTGACTTACACACCACGACCAGAACCGGCAAGGGAACGGAGACTGAACAGCGACTGGGAACGGCCCTTCCGCAGGGGCTGTGTTTCCTCCCCTCCCATTTCCTCTCTTCCCGAAGTGGCTACTGTGTTCCTTCCGTTCCGGAAGTGGCGCGTTTCCTGTCTTCCGGAAGTGGCTAATGCGTTCCTTCCCTTCCGGAAGTAGTGCGTTGGTTCCTTCCCTTCCGGAAGTGGTGCATTTGTTCCCTTCCAGAAGTGGTTAATTTGTTCCTTCGTATCCGGAAGTGGCGTGTTTGTTCCTTCCCTTCCGGAAGTGGCGCGTTTCCTCTCTTCCGGAAGTGGCCCGTTTGCTCCTTCCCTTCCGGAAGTGGCGCGTTTCTTCTGGAAATGGCGCCTTCCTTCGTTTCCGGAAGTGGCCCGTTTGTTCCTTCCCTTCCGGAAGTGGCACGTTTGTTCTGGAAGTGGCGCGTTGGCTTCCTTTTTCTGCCTCCGCACCATGGCAGCGCTTCGTGGCGTAGCCTGTGCCTCGTTTTAGCTCCTTCACGTCAGCCAGCCTGGGGCGGGAAGCCAGCGTTCCAAAGCTTCCGTGCGGGGAAGAGCTCCTTGCGCAGGCTCTTGTGCGGGCTGCCGCGCCCCTCCCAGCGCCGACGGCCCCTCCTGTGCTTGCAGGCATCCGCATGCTGGACGGCGACGTCACGGACGTGGTGGAGGCCAAGTCGCTGGGCATCCGCCCCAACTACATCGACATCTACAGCGCCAGCTGGGGCCCGGACGACGACGGGAAGACGGTGGACGGGCCTGGCCGCCTGGCTAAGCAGGCTTTCGAGTACGGCATTAAAAAGGTGTGCGTAACCAGGGCCGCGGGGGCGCAGTGTTAACGCTCAGGAGTCCGCGGCGCGCTGGTCGGAGGGAGCCCTGAAGCAGAACAGACACGGCCAGGGCTGGAGGGAGGGAGGGAGGCGGGTTCCTCCTGCTCCAGTGGGAGCAGCCGGACGCGGGTCTGGGATCTGCCTGGTCCTGCCAGTGACGTGTCGGAGGGTGGGAGGGGTCCCTGTGTGGGCTCCGCAGGTGGAAAGGGTGTGCTGGCCCTTGGCTCACCTGTCCAGAGAAATACCCGGAGTGGAACGTTGTGCACCACCCACGGGTGTGTGCGACTCCAGGGCCCCTCGCAGCATGGCTGGCTGCCGCCCAGCCACAAGGATGTGAAGAAGTGGCTGGAGGTGAACGAGCTCTTAGCAGTGGGTGGCGAGGCGGAGCCCTGAGCACAGACGGTTCTTGGAGCAGGCAGACGGCGCTGCGGTCAGTGTCCAGGCAGCCCTGGGTGGCCAGCAAGGCCCAGCCCAGAACATGAGGCGTGGCCAGCGACTGCCAGCAGGGCCAGGGCCACTGCGGGAGGGCAGGCATCTCTCATGTTGGGGGGGGGGCTGTGCCCATTTTCTTATTTATAAAATATTTTTCAAAGGTTTTATTATATTGTAATCCACACACAGTGAGTGAAACATGGTTAAAAAAGTCATCAAGCAAGGATTGTACCAAAAACAGCCTCTGAAGTCTTGTGTGGGATTCTGTTTTCTAAGTAACGGGGTGTGCTGCTTTCTTGTGTGCGTTGTTCCATCACTGTTCATCCGTTTCCTTTTGTGGGATCGAGTGGTTTTCCTCCAAGCCCCGAGTTGCCCTTTTCCCCGGCGCTTCCTGGGTTGGGGCTCGCAGGAATCTCTGCCTCTTGCCAGAGCAGCTGAGGTGCACCTGCTCGCTCGCACCTGCCCCAGTACCGGTGCTGCGGAGGCCGCCCCTCCCTGCTGTCTCCCTCTGACCACTCAGGGCTTGTGTGCCTGAGAAATAGGTGAATAGGTGACCAGAAGTAGGGGCATCCACTCTTGTGTCCCTCGGAGCTCGGTCCTCGCTCAGGTAGTCCATGCGCGAATAAATTCCGTGAAGGAAGAGAGATGGTGTAGACACACACGGCGCATGCACACCGCGTGGCCCGTGCTCCAGCTTGGGATGCCTGGAAGCTTCCTTTATCCTCCCGGGCCCCAGGAAAACACAATGGGGGCTTCAGGCAGGCTGCTGAGCCCCTGAGCTGGGGCAGGGTGAACTTGGCTGATTCGGCTCAGCCCCTGGCCACGGGAGCCACCAAACATACAGCTTACATCCTTCTGTTATTCCGCTCCCCTCCCACCCCGCATCACTCAGGACCCCGTCCTGGTGAGGAGATGACCCGACTGGATTCCCTGAGATGCCTTCTGGGGCTGTGAGCTCTCAGGAGGAGACGCCCGCCCGTTTCCTGCGGCACTAGGGTTGTGTTCAGGGTTGTCTGTCTCCCTGGGGCGAGTGCAGAGAGGGGAGCTTTGCCTTCTGACTTCAGACCGGCCGTCAGGGGAGCGCGGAAGTTGCAGGAGGGCCATGTGGTCCCCCTCCTCCTTGTCACGGTTTCTTGAAATACTGAGGTCATTTAATTTTTTTTAGTCATTCTGAAGTAAAATATGTCATACAGGGAGCCTTAAATCGCAGCTGTCTGGGGCTGTCACGGAAAATCCTCCTGGAAATTGGATGATCTCAAAGCCAGCCACGTCCCCCCATCTGTTTTTCCTCCTTGCCACCCCGTTTGTCACCTGTAGTCGTTTTCAGTAAGATCTGACTTCATCTGGTGGATGGTGCAGCCTGGTGGTGGAGCCTTTGGAAGCCATAACTTGGCACGGAGACCTGGCTGAATGTCGGTACTTGCGAGGCCCGGCTCCTCCCGGGGCTTGTGGTGCAGGAGCGGAGCTCAGACCTCACAGCAGCTAAGAGCTCTGGGCTGTCCAGGCGCTGGCAGGCGCTAGCCGGCACGAGTCGTGCTTCTGAGCTCAGGGATAGACTCTCCGCGTCCTGGGGAGCTCCTGAGGCTGCGAGTTGGTCAGGCGGAGGTTGTGGCCTCACTGAACAGAACGCAGGTTCGTAGTCAGGTTGCAGCGTCCCTGTAGCTGCTGCTGTCCTGTGGCTTCCAGGAGGAACCAGAGGGAGTTCTGAAAGTGGACATCTCCTTACACCTCAGATCCGGGTGCTTTCTCTGCCCCCACCCCCGCCGTGTCATTCCCATGTTCGCTTTATTCAAGGAATCATTTAAGCAGCAGAGAGGCTGTTGGTACTGTGATGCATGTGAGAAGGGATTGTCCAGATGGTGCCCAGTGTAAGGCCCTGGGTGTTCAAGGCAGGGCATCACCTGGGAGCCAAGCAGGCTCCACGTGGGATCAGGATTCCCGGTGGCTCGTGTTTTGGGAGCACCCTTGCAGGCCGTCATCTTGGAGCAGTAAGACTGCCCGCTCCTCCCTGCAAAGTGACAACGTTTGTAAGTAACTTGAAGGGGAGGGGGCTTGAGAGTGACAGTGTCTAGGGGTGAGTCTCACATGGAATGAAATCAGCCTCTGCTGGGCCAAGTGCCTTTTCACTGGATGTTGGTTCCTTTAAAGTGGCTTCTGTTCTTCCAGGTAGCTAAATGCAGACACACCTTTTCCATAGTATTTTGTGCCTTTCTTCCAGAAGATTAACTTAAAAAAAAAAAAAGATTTATTTATTGAAAAGGCAGAGTTACTCAGAGGCAGAGGCAGAGAGAGAAGTCTTCCATCTGCTGGTTCACCTCCTCAAATGGCTGTAACAGCCAGAGTTGGGCCAATCCAAAACCAGGAGCTTCTTCCAGGTCTCCCATGCAGGTGCCCAAGGGGCCCAAGAACTTGGGCCATCTTCTACTGCTTTCCCAGGCCATAGCAGAGAGCTGGATCAAAAGTGGAGCGGTCGGGACTCAAACCAGCGCCCATATGGGATGCTGGCACTGCAGGTGGCGGCTTTACTGCTACACCACAACGCTGGCCCCAATATTAACTTTTTTTAAAAAAGAATATTTACTGGGATCAGTGCTGTGGTGTAGCAGGTTAAGCCTCCATCTATAGTGCTGGCATCCCATATGGGCGCCAGCCATCTGGGAAGTAAACCAGCAGATGGAAGATCAGTCTCTCACTCTTTCCCTCCTTCACTGTCTCTCTCTGCCTTTCAAATTAAATAAATAAATATTTTTAAAGAATTTTTAAAATTTATTTTGAAAGGCAGAGTGACCAGAGATCCTCCATCTGCTGATTCACATCCCTAGATGGCCGCAATAGCCAGGCTGGGCCAGGCCAAAGCCAGGAGCCTGGAATGCCACCCAGATTTCCCATGAGGTTGGTGAGGTCTAAACACTTGGACCATCTTCTGCACTTTCCCAAGCACATTAGCAGGGAGCTGGATTGGAAGTGGGACAGCTGGGACTCAAACTGGTGTTCACATGGGATGCTGGTACCACAGGCAGCGCCACAGTGCTGGCCCCAGAAAGTGGACTGTTTGACCGAACGTGAATGACCTTTCTGTAGAGCTGCTGCCTGCTCAGGTGAGACCTCTGAGAGATGCAGCAGGCAGTGAGCGAAGCAGCGTGCAGCAGCTGAGCCGAGTAAGCAGACAGTCGGGAACCTTGGGTCCCCACTGGAGTCCCCTGGGCTACTAAGCAGGTGGCTGTGCTCTGCGAAGGGGGACCCACACTCTGAGGTGAGCGTGCTGTGTCCAGGGCACAGCGGGCCCTCAAGCTGACTGTAAGGATTGCAGGGTGTGGTTCGAGTGGCCTTGCGATGGCCAGTTGCTGGGTATGAGCATTAGTTGCCTCCTGGGAGTTTGGAAAGCAGAGGCCTGGGTAAGAACCGCACGGATCTGGTTTCAGATGGAGACAAATGCCGGCACTGCGCTCTGGGGCTGCCTGAGCACCACCAGCAGGCCCAGCTACAGGGGCTGCATCAGTGAATCCAGTCCAGCCAACGCTTTGCAGGTGTTTGTGTGTTGATGGCTCTTGGTCTGATCAGAAGTCATTGATCCTGGAAGAACCTGTCCTGACTGGCTGCTGTCTTTCAGACCCTGGCTTTCACGCATGCGTGCTTAGAAGCCTGCACAGAAGTGAGGCCAGTGTCCTGGGCAGGCATTGATATCTGACCACGCCAACACCCGTCCAAAGTGGAGACTCCAGGAGTGTGAATCAGACTGCCGAGTGCAGCCACCAGCATTCTGCACCAAGACCCGTTTCCACTGCTGCAGGCTGAGCTTGCTCCCCAAGAAGGGTTCCCTCCTCGGCTGTGTTTTCACAGAAATGTGTTCTCCCTACAAGACCGGCTCTTTCAGCCTGGAGAAATTGAGCGCCATCTGTAACCTCGGTGCTACCGCGGCACTGCTGGGTCTCTTTGACCCCCGCCGTCATGACGGGGTCTGTTCTGCCTGCCCTGCAGGAGAGCAGCTTCTGCTGGCACCCGAGTTTTCCAGAAGGAACCCCCAGACTCTCCTGCCCTGTCCCCCACAGTCCCGTGCCTCTCCACTTCTACGGCCGATGCCACAGGCAGAGGTACGTCATTAAAACCAGGACAGAGTCCTTCAAAACCAGCCCCCCGGCGCTGGTGTTGTAGGGCAGCAAGTTAAGCCACCACCTGCACCACTGCCACCCCCTAGGAGCACCTGTTTGAGTCCCCGGCTGCTCCTCTTCTGACCCAGCTCCCTGCTGATGCACCTGGGACAGCAGTGGAAGGTGGGCCAGGTACTCTCTGGGCCCCTGCACCCATGGGAAAGACCTGGATGAAGCTCCTGGCTTTGGCCCAGCCTGGCCAGTGTGAGCTAGAAGATGGAAGGCCTCTCTCTGCAACTCTGCCTTTTGAGTAAATAAATAAATCTTAAAAAAGAAAAAAAAGAGCCAAGCTGTTGGAGGCTGGCAGCTGGGTACTCTGAGCAGTTCCTTGTCCTCCTCTGTGAATGGACGTTCAGAAGGTGAGATTCTGGCCATGTTGACACCTGGCCGGTGAGGTTCTGGCTGCTAGAGTTACTACCTGGTCCTTGTTCCCTCTAGGGCCGGCAGGGCCTGGGCTCCATTTTTGTCTGGGCGTCTGGGAATGGCGGGAGAGAAGGGGACTACTGCTCCTGTGACGGCTACACCAACAGCATCTACACCATCTCTGTGAGCAGCACCACCGAGAACGGGTACAAGCCCTGGTACCTGGAAGAGTGCGCCTCCACCCTGGCCACCACCTATAGCAGCGGGGCCTTTTATGAGCGGAAAATCGTAAGTTCTCCTGCCAAGTTTGAGGGTTTGTAACACAAGCCTCAGCCCTCTGGGAGGGGCCCCTTTTGCCTTTCACAGAAAGATGAGTGAGGTTGAGGCCAGATTGTTCCAGATCTCAGGGCCCTAGAGAACCGTGAGGGCCTGGATGTAAACCCCTGTGTCCTGGCACTCTGCTCCCTGCCCAAAAACCCATGAAAACCCTCTTTGGCTTCAGAGATCTAAAAATAGCATTTAAGAATGGGGTCCATTCTCATCACATCTCATTCTAGTTCTCTGGAATTCCATGGTCACGTCCTATGGAATCCAACTGACCGGTGCAGTTCCAACCTGTAAAACTGCATAAGAGAAAGTCTTGGTTTCATTCTGGAACATTCTAGAAATGTTCTTCTAGTCATTGCATTGCTCGCACAGGCCGTACCCTGGTCACTTTTACCTCGAGCAGTAGTTTTCTGTCTGCCACCTGCTTGGGTGAATACAAGAGTGATTTTTTTTTTTTTATCTTTTATTTAATGAATATAAATTTCCAAAGTACGACTCATGGGTTACAACAAGAGTGATTTATCTTTTAAACAGTAACTGTTGTAGTATGTGTGAGGACTGTGTGCTGCTTTTTTCCCTACACATTTTCCTACTTTAAAAAAAAAAAAGAAATGCAGGGTTTCTAGCCCAAATTAATGCAGAATTTAATTGCACAGTCACTAACTGGATTTTAGACTTTTTTTAAAAAAACAAACAAACAAACATGAGACGATGGCGCTGGTCAGACAAGCTTTAGTCTTATAGCTCACGTTGTTTTTTCCATTCCTCTGGCCCCTGAGCCACGTCTTTAGAAATTACTTGCAGGTTTACATTTTTGGAAGAAGCAGGCAGGCTTCCTGCCCCCTGCTTTGCTCTGTGCCAGCCAGGGGTCAGCCGCCATCGTCCTGCCCATGGCCTGGCAGTGGCCCAGGCTGCTTCACTGAGGATTAATGTAAGTTCTTTTCCTTTTCCACCGGAGCACACACCCTGGGGTGGGCAGCCGAGATTCTGACGGGTGTCCTGCTCACTCGGGAATCCAGCTCGCGTGAACACGGACATACCCACGTCTCATTTAACAGATGCTTGGGCCCAAGCCTGACAGGGGCCTGTCGCCCCACTGGTCACGCAAGTCAGGGCATGCGGACAGACACGGTGTGCTGGGAGCACCGTGTCTCCCAACTCTGGAGGCCGGGCCTGAGGCTGTGTTTGCTTAATTCTTCATGCCAGGGTGTGCCTGTTTGCAGGTGTCTGTGGGTGGTGCACCCCATAGCTACAAAATACTCTTTTTGAAAAGAATTTTTAAAAAATTCTTCAGTGCTAACATGAGGGTCAGAAGCTTGTAGTTGGATGGATGCCCGTAGTACAGTCATTGTCCGGGACTCGGCTGGCAGTGAGGATGGCGGCTTCTCTGTTGCACCAGAGCCCGTGTTCGCAGTGGACCCCTTGTACTGCTGGCCCCTGTGAGGCCTATCACCAGTCCCCTAGAAGAAGAGAGTTTGCTCGTCCACTGGGCAGGAGCCACATTCCAGGCTCAGCACCAGGATGCAGGATGTTGGTTCAGGCCTCTTGGGAGCTGGGCTCTGGCCCAGTCACCCCACTTTCTCTCGCTGACTGCCATTACCAAGCACAAGGCCCTGTAGGTGCCCATGAAGGGCGTGCCCTTGTGCTGTTTGCAGAGGGGGATGCTGGGGACAGCGAGCTCGCATCCTTGCCCCGTTCCCCTGCCCTTAGTGGCTCCCTGCACGCCCAGTGCCTCAGCCCTGCTGACCGGGCTAGGGGGAGGGGTGGGGCTCTGGCTCCAGTCTTCCTGTGGCCGGGTGACGCAGGCTCAGCCTCTCCACTGGTTAACTCAGCCACTGAAGCCCAGGGAAGGAGTTGCGTTTGGGAGTGGGTGTGGATTGTTATCCTGGAAGAATTCATGCCCCGGGGTGATGCAGAGTGGGTGGGTGGGGTGTTACTTTTCCATTCCTGCCAGAGCTGAGCGTCACAGACACAGCCAACGCACAGACCTGCAGCCCAGAGCTCCGCAGTCGGGCCCAGCAGCGTCCGCGGGGCCTCTCCGTTGAGTCTCCCGGAGCAGAAACCAAGGTGCCGACGGTGCCAAGTTCCCTTCTGGAGGCCCTGGGGAGCTGCGTTGGCTCCTTCAGGTTGCTGGCAGCATTCAGTTCCCTGCGGTTATAGGACTGAGGTTCCTGTTTCCTCATGGGCGGTCAGCTGAGGCCTGTTCTTGGCTCCGGGGCACATGTGCCTTGGCTGTGTCCCCCGGCTCCCTCTTCAGGGCCCGCGTCACCCCGTCAGGCTTTGCTGCCTTCCTTCCACCTGTAAGAGTCCTGCGATCATACCAGGCCCACCTTCATGACCCAGGATTCTCCCAGGTTAACACCAGGGCCGAGATCCTGGGGCCACAGTCCCGTCTCGCATAGCTAAGCCCAGAGTCAGTCTCCCCGGCTCAGTTCTGCAGGGAGGTATAAAACACCTCGTCCACGCCGCTGGCGTCAGCACCCTAGGCGAGGGCCAGCACAGCTCCCCCTCCCCAAGGCAGAGTCACCCGCCTCCCCAGCAGAACAGCCTCCCCTCCCCAAATTGAATGGCTGGCCACCTCCTGCTCAACAGGCCCTATGAGGTCAAGAGTGCTCCAGGTCTGCCTGTCTCTGCAGTGGGGCCAGCTGCAAGGCGTGTGGCACCTGTCAGTTATCTGAGGAGGATGTCTGGGTGGGAACCCCATCTGTGACCTTGTGGCTAAAGGCAGAACAGCCCCCTGGGCGCCTGTACCTGGATGGGGGATTTTCAGCTGCCTTGAAGTCAGGGGTGACTTGAGGGTGGGCTCTGGCAGGTGGTCTTGCCAGGGGGCCTCTCGTGTTAGTGGCAGTGGCATGATACCAAGCACTGCAAGGAAAGGGCGTGTGGAGGCTCCCTCTGGGTTCCTTTGGCCTTGCCCCTCTCTGCCCACCCTCCTGAGCAGTGACGGAATGAGTCGCTCATCAGCGCTGCCAGGGCGTGGCTCGCAGCTGCTGGGCCTCCCCCTGCTGCTCTCCCTGAGGTTAGCCTGTTCCCACCCATGGCAGGTCTGTGCCGTGTGTACCGAGAGTAGAGCCGCAGGAGCCTGTGGCCGGCCAGAGGCCCCTTCTCTTCCTGGGGTCCAGGGCCCCACCCCATTGGCAGCCGCGTAGCCTTGACGTCTGCTGGGAGTGGATGAGCCTCTGCATCCTCACCTCATCCTGTGGCCCTCTCGTCCAGGTCACCACGGATCTGCGCCAGCGCTGCACAGATGGCCACACTGGGACCTCCGTCTCGGCCCCCATGGTGGCAGGCATCATTGCCCTGGCTCTAGAAGCAAAGTAAGTCCCCACTGCCCTTCTGTCTCACGTAAGACACGCGTGGCGTAGGACTCACCATTGCTGCTGTACAGGTCTGTGGCATTAGTACTGTGCGGTGTTGTCACCGTCCACCTTCAGAACTGCTGCACCTTCCCAAATCGAAGCCTTGACCACGTTAGAACCTGACTGTGGTCACTCAGGCTGCTCAGCCTGGGTGTCTCTGCAGCAGGCCCTTGTTTGCTGTGAGCTCTGGAGGCTGCCACTCCAAGGTCAAGGTCTCGGCAGGGTTGGTCTTTGTGGCTTGCAGGTGACCGCCTTCTCCCAGTCCTCACATGGCCCTCCCTCTGCACTTATCTGTGTCCAGATTGCATGTGAGGACAGTGACCATCCTGGATGGGTGCCCACTCTCGTACATCATTTTTCCCTTAATCACTCTGTTGAAGACCCTCCAAAGGTTCTCCAAATGTAGTCATACTCTGAGGCACTGGAGCTTAGGACCCCAGCAGACCAATGTTAGGGAGACACCGTTCCAGCCTTCGCACTCATCGCACCCTGCCCCAGGCCACCCTTGGACTTCCTGCCCGTGTGAAATGGACTGCTCATGTAAGTGGATTCACACTGTACTGCCTGAGCATCCCTAGTCCAAAGCCCTGAAGTGCTCCAAAATCCAAAACCTTGTGAGCTTCAGGTTTTATTGTTTTTTTTGTTTTTTTTGTTTTTTTTTTTTTTTTTTTTTCATTTTTCTGATTTTCACATTAAGGTTGCTCAACCAGTAAGGCCTGTGCAGATATTCCAAAATTTAAAAAGCCCTCAGTCTGAAGTCCTTCTGGTCCCCCACATTTCGGATCAAGGGCACTCCGTGGTGTCAGTCCCCTTCCTCTTCAGGCCATCGACATGGGTGAGAAGTGCCTCTCTCCCTCCAGGGCCCCGCCATCTCCTGCCCTGGCTGGGGGCTGGGAATGGGCAGAGCAGAGCCCTAAGCCTTGCTCCCATTTGTACCAAAATCACACGTTCCGCTGCCACAGCTTCCTCTAGGGACTTTAGCCCAGAAATTGACAATAAGACAGTTTGATTGCCGTGAACCAAATGAAAACTCTGACTCGTGACCCCATGCGTGGTCTGTCACTACCACAGTGCACCCGATACTTAGGTCATTTCTAGAAAATACTACACAAACGGTATCATCTGGAATTGCATAGGAAATAATGATACTGAAAAACTGCATACATTCAGTACAGATGTGAGTCTGCTTTACTAGGATACGCATCATGCTCAGAATGGCCCCGAATACTTAATCACAATTTACCATGACATTACAGTCTTTCTTCTCTGCTTCCAAAATTGCCTGTCGGTCCCGTACGGACCCCAGGAGGGCCTGGCAGCAGGGCTGGGCATCCGTGCTTGTGGATGTCGGCTCACGGTTGGGCTTTTTTTACCTTGGGATTTCATTGCTGGAAACTGTTCTCTCCGAGAGCTGGAGGCGTAGACCCCTGCGAACGCAGTCGCTAGCCTGCGGCCAGCGCTGACCCACCACCTCTCAGCTGGTCGGTGTGGCCAGCGCTCTGTTGTTGTGTCATTGCAGCAGCCAGCTGACCTGGAGGGATGTCCAGCACCTGCTAGTGAAGACCTCCCGGCCGGCCCACCTCAAGGCAAGCGACTGGAAGGTCAACGGTGCCGGGCACAAAGGTGCGGCTGCCGCGCGCCCTTGGAACGCGGCTCAGGGGCCATGTGAATTCCCTTGAATCGCTTAGCAAGATCCCCAGATAGCAGCAGCCGTCAGCATTAGGTGTGCATTGTGAGAACTAAACACACACACTCAGGGATTTAGAGAAGCACCCTGGGTGCTCACACTGGCATCAGGGAGGACCCCAAGGTCGTCAGCAGGTGGGTCCCCGAGCTGCGAGAGCTGAGACGTCGGTTGACTCTCTTCAAGGTGACGCCCTTTCTCTCAACATCAGGAATGTGTTTTAAAGGACACATTATTCCATCTGGTTAATCATGGGTGTGAGTGGTAATTATATTTTTTAAGGTACATTAAGACAGATCCATGATTATTAGGATAGATGATGTTTGTTTGCCACCTTAGGGCAACTTGCATTCTTAGCCCTGAGTAGATTTGTGGTTTTCCTCATCTGTACAAAGAAGACATTGACACGGTTGTGCAAGTTACTTTCCAACTGTGAAACTTCTGGTGGCCAACTCCTGTGTTGTTTAGGTAACTCGCAGGGCAACAGGGCCTCTGGCCCCAGTCTGCCCTGGGACACGCAGACCCAGGTACCGTGACATCAGTGCCTGGTCACAACTTAATTATCCCAGATATGGGGAGCCTCGGGAGCAGGCAGTTACGGGACTGGGCTGCTGGATTTGACGAATCGACCAGCGGTACTCAAAAAAGGCTCCTTTTCTGAAGCCCAAGTCCAGCTATTAGGACCCCCAGCCTGATATTGTGACCTGTCAGGTGGAGGTCAAGTGTCATTTTTACCTTCATGGGCGCAGGGACATTCCTTTCAATAAGGAGGCCGTTGCTCTAGCCTCGCCACATCTTTGTTCTGCAGGAATGTTGGCGGTAGTGGTATGCTGTAACAAGAGCTGCCCCACATTTCAATTTTGGCCTAATTAAATAGGAAAACAGATCGTATCTGCTTCCCGACCTTGCCTTGTAAATTAAACTTTGAAGCCCTCCTGTCTTCGCCAAATTAAACACCAGGTCAGGCCAGTCCGCAGGCACCCTCTCTTCGTGCTGTGTGTCACCACGTGTCCCAAACGCCCTGAGAATTCAGCAAGCAAAGAAAACAGCACACAAGATGAGCATGGCAGCCTTGCTTGACTGTGTCCGTGCATGGCACGCTGTGGATCCCAGGGCTGGTTTCTCCTGCCTGGTCTCGGATTTGGGGAGTACACATGCCAGCAACTCCTTTGTTGTAAAGAGATCTGTCTGGTCTCAGCCGAAGAGTCCTAGGCCCTCTCCATCGCACTGCGCAATTGAACAGGGCGTGTGTGGCCCCGTCTTACACGAAGGGGTTCAGGAGCGAGGGAATGGAGCTTGTGGAGTCCCCGGCAGCCCTCCAAGGGCCTGTCCTACAGCTGGGGCTGGAGGAGGCAGGGGGCCTGGCGCTGATGGCCCTGTCTTTTCAGTTAGCCATCTCTATGGATTCGGCTTGGTGGATGCAGAAGCTCTGGTTCTCGAAGCCAAGAAGTGGACAGCAGTGCCCTCCCAGCACATGTGTGTGGCCACCGTGGACAAGAGGCCCAGGTGAGGCTCCGTTCCTGCACAGTGACTTGTCACACATGTTGGACCCAACTCTGCTGTTCTGTGGTGTGGCTGGCCGTGTTGACACACATGGTGCCATGTGCACAGGCGGGAGGCAGGTGTGCGTGTGCATGGCGGTGTGTGTCTGTGCGTGTGTCGCTTGTGTTGTCTGCATTGCTGCCTTTGGTGCAGCTGGGATAAGTTGCTCCTGAAGCCACAGTCGTTTCAAGGCCTCCTCCCCTTTTGTGGCAGATGGATCCGTGGCAGGGAGCCAATCACAGTACAAATCCCTTGGCCTGCGTTTGAAATTCCTGTCCCTAATGTTTAGCACAACTGACCAGACTGGAGATTTGCCCTGCCTCGCAGGGTGTGATGAGGAGCAGCCCCAGGTGTCCTCTCTGTGCCCACCCAGAGGCGACCTGCGTGCGGTGTGGCCTTTCAGGGCTGGCCAAGAGCCTTCTCTGTGGCACTGCGGGGCTTAATTTCCAGCTCTGCTCCACTGTTATCTGTCCTCTGTGGCCTTCAAAGTTCGAGTGCTGGGTTTTGTTGTTTTTTAACAAGACTTTTGAGCAGCAGGCACTGGGCCCTGATTTTATCTCTTCCATGTTAGTGCACTCCCTGGCACTGCCAGTTACATTTGCTCAGTGAAATTTTTATTAAAAAAAAAAAAAAGAAAAAAAAAGAATCTGCCGTAAAGAAAGTCGGATGCTCAGAGCTGCTCCCCGCTGCGGATCAGGGGAGGCGATGGAAACCAGGAGATCCTCCTCGATTCTGTGGCTGCAGCTGCCCCGCCATAGGGAGAGGAGAGCCCCCTAGGCCTTGGCATCTGACCAGAGGGGGTGCCTTTCTGGCTGCACCTGTTTGCTACCCTCGGAAAATGTGTGTACAAGAGAGACGATGCGGGAGGTGACGCCAAGCTCGGCGTCGCTCTTATCTCTAAACATAGACGGACGGCCTCTTCTCTCGTGGGCGCTTCTGGCACTGAATGCTGAGCAGGTGTTTCATGCACGCCTTGCCCACGGAGGAGCTCAGAAAGTCTGGTGAATGATGCCTGGATAGCGCCCCAAGGAGGGCCTTTCCAAAAATCACCGTGTTTTTGTTTGTTGCTAATCATGCACATCTACCACTGGGCCAGTGTCAGCCTTGACCTCTTACCCTTGTTTTCCTTGAGGGGCCAGAGACTGGCAAATCTGGAGGGAAGCAGGGTCGGGCGGGGCGTGGGGGGATTTCTGAGATAAAGGAGGCTTTGCCTGCCTTGGCTTTGTTTGTTGGAAAACGCAGGGAACACAGATAATCAGCCATCAGGTAAGGCGATGCCGGCTCCCGGGTCTGGTTCCCACCCTGTGGGGCTGCCCTGTCCCCTCCCACCAGACTGCCCGGCAGGGCGGCTCCTGAATGAAGCATTCTTCTCCTGCCAGAAGCCGTTTTAAGATGGTCGAGTGGTGCCTAGGTGGCGAGTGGCTGTTTTTATTTTTATTTTATTTTGCTTTTTAAGTGAAAGCACACAGGGTCTAGACAGCAGGTTGAGGGTAACACACAGTGTGACATTGTTCCTCTCCTTTGAGGAAAATCAGGACTCTGCAGATTCCAAGGGGAAGCAAGAATCAGACTCCTGTTTCTAAAGAAAAATCCCCTCTACCCTGGCCAGGCTCAGACTTTCTGGAATATTCTGTCTCAAGCCACTTGCTTAGCTCCGCAAAGCAGTTGTTCCTGCAGAGAGAAGAGTGTTGCTGTGAGGAGGGTATGGGCCCTGCCTGCCTGGGAGTGGTCATTCAAATCCCGGCTTCTGAGTGTCCCCATAGTTGTAGTCAGTTACCCTCAAGGTTGTCACCCAGCTTTGTCCCAGCCACTGGGATCGCTTGACTTAGAAAGGCTGGGTGCACATACAACTGCGTGTCCTACCCTCCTGGCCTCTCTCTCTCCACATACATGGTCCAGCTGTCCACTGTCACAGCCCCAGTCCGGTGCTTCCTCTCTGGAATGGCCCAGGTGTGGCCCAGCTGCTGCCCCTTGTGAGTAGCCGAGTAAGCAATAGCGAGGATGCACGGGGCGGGGGAGGGGTCTTTCTGTTCCCATCCATGGGCAGCTGTGTGTACACTGCACAGCCTGTGTACACCTGGTGCCTTTCCTCTTTACTGAGTGGAAGGGAAACAGTGCCCTGGCAGTGCCAAAGGCAGAGAGCTGAGCTCACCGACATCCGGTCCAGGAATCCTAGAAGGCTTTGGGGCCAGCCCTGCCATGTGCATGGTAGAGGGGCTGGGGCTCCGTCCACCCTCTGGTCACGTGCAGGGTGAAGGCGGGGCTCCTCTCTCCAGCCCCAGCCCTGAGCCGCGATGCGTCCCTCTCCTGGGACACAGCTGTGGCTCGAGATGGGTCCTGCCAGGCAGTGACGACAGGAGCCACGGGCCCCTGGCTGCACATCCGTCCTGCGTACCTGCCTGCACTCAGCAGCTGCATGGCAGGCACTGCGCCCCAGGTGACTACACCGCATCGGCGCTCGGCCATCCACGCAGTCCGTCCACGGAGCTGCTCTCTCTGCTGTGCAGACCCCAAGTCTCACTAAGGCCCAAAGGGGTAGAAAGGCCAACAGCGCAGCGCAGGGAGGGCTGCTGTGGCAGGAGCAGGGCTGTGACCGTCCCCCCCAGCAGGAAGCTGTCACTCACTCTGTAATGCAAGCAGAGGCCGTATGTGCTGTGACTGAGGACCAGCCGGAGCCTTGTGCACTGCGAGCCAGGACATTGCCCATGTCGAGACTGGGAGGGGTTGAGCATGGGCCTGTTCCCATCTGGATCTCCCAGAGTGCAGAGAAGGGCAGGGAGCCCACCTGGGTAGAGGTGCGTGGGGGCGTAGATTGAGGGGCTGGGCCCCTGCTCTGAGGCCCCCCAGATCCGGTAGCCTCTTGTCCCCCCAGCCCAGAACAGAGGTCTGAGCCCCTCAGCAGGAGACCCCACAGGCAGGGTCCACCGCACCGTGCGAGGGGAAGCCACTTGAACTGGATGACAGGAGCTTTTTGCACAAGAGAAAGACTCGCTGGGAGTCCTGCAGACAGCACTGGAAGAAACTGCAGGCGGTGCCTGGCTCTCTGCTGCCGCGTCCAGCCAGACCCACACGGAAGATCAAAGACCCCCTCCCCCCCACCCAACTCCCCGGCACAGCGGCTCTCATTTATTCAGAACCTTTCCGCGGCTGAAGGGCAGGAGATGGGATCACGACCAGCGACAGCGCCATGCCAGGCCGTTAGAAATCTGTGTGTAGTCAGTAGAGGAGGATGAATGGACTTTCTCAAAGCTCCTCTTAAGTGAAAAGAAAAACCAGGCTCGGCCTAATGCTGTGAATCGAAAGGAAGCCGGGCTAATTCAGCTTCCTGTTTGACCCTTCCTGCTCTGCTGGCTGGTGCTTCCCCGCTTCTTTAACCCAGGCTGCTGCGGAGCAGCTGACGGTGCCTGAGACCCTGGCCAGGTGCTGGAGGACAGCAGTGACGCCCACAGAAGGCAGCAGCCGCACGTCTGAAGCCTCGCTGGTGTGGCAGGTCCCGGCTCAGGGGGTGTGTTACTAAAGAGCACGCGGCCCGCGCCGCTTCAGCAGGGGTGCTGTGAACAAGCATGAGGTGCAGAGAGTACACGTGTGCTCACGGCCCGACTCCAGGGTAGCCCCACACCCTGTTGGCCTGGCACCTCAACAAATCAGACTGCACAGGATAGATTTATATGTGTGTGTGTGTGTGTGTTTATGATGTGCTTATTTGAAAGGCAGAGTTAACAGTGAGATGGAGAAGAGCCTACATCTGCTGTTCACTTCCCGAGTAGCCGCACCAGCTAGGGCTGGGCCCAGCTGAAGCCAGGAGCTTCCACCAGGTCTCCCACATGGGGGCAGGGGCCCAGGTACTTGGGTCATCTTCCGTTGCTTTCCCAGGCATGTTAGCAGGGAGCTGGATGGGAAGTGGAGCAGCTGGGACTCCAACTGGCACCCGTGTGGGATGCTGGTGTTGCAGGTGGTAGCTTAACTCGCTGCTCCGCGATGCTGGCCCTGTGGTGGCTGGAGTTACCAGCTCCACAGATAGTGGTAGATGGCTGTGGCTGATGAGCAGACAATGATTATAAAGGCACTCACCATACACCAGTGAGATCCAAGCGTCTTCCATGGAGTATCACATTCAAGACCCCCAGTGGGGCATGAGGTGCTATTTTTATCCCCATTTTATGGATGAACAAACTGAGGCACAAAGAAGTTCAGAACTTTGCCCCGGGGCTGGGCTTCCACCCCAGGCTCCTGTCTCAAGCCTCCATGAACTCAGGCAGTGCTGAGCCAAGGACAGGAACCCGTACCCCACCTCGCACTCTGCATGTCCCCTTCTGGATGAGCACACTGCCTCCCAGAATGGGAGGGCATCTTGGCCCCAGCCACCCAGAGGTCCCCCAGCCGTGGCTGGGCCCTTGTCCCAGTGGGGACGGGAAGCTCCTGGCAGCTGTTCGCAGCAGGTGAGCCAGGAAACAGCTGCAGCTGCGTTTTCTGCAGATGACCTGTGAACACAGAGCCTTGTTTTTAGGCTTGTGTCTAAAGATCCCTTATTTATGACCTGTTGGATTGGACTCATGTCCACCTGACTGCCTGTTGAGAACAGGTACACAGCCTGGTTTGACATCTGCTTAGAAGCTAAAAGCCACTGTTTTTTTGGGCTCCCTCTGTTCTATGCAGGAACGCGCCTGCCCCAACTCTCCCATCTCCCTCCCGCCCTTCCCAGGCCTCCCTCTAGGACGTCTGGTCTCTGCGTCTCTGGCTACCCCAGAGACCGCTGCCTGCTTTTTCCTGTTGAGCCACTACTAATCCCCAGAACGCTTGGACCAGGCTGTACAGCCCTGCACTGGACTCCGTGTTTCTTCTGCTTCTCGGTACCCCTTCCAGGCCCTGGATAGCTGAACAAGCAGCTCTTGCCCTCCTGGCTAAGTTAACCCCACCCCTAATGGTAAAGGCTGCTTGCTTCTCAAATTAATGTTTGAATTTGA